CAAGTAATCTTATTGTTTTGAGTTTTTATTTTAGTTTGTTATTTGTTTGTGATATCATGCATAACACATCACATTTATGATGATGACAAAAAAGGGATAAGAGTGATCATGTGGGTTTATGTATGGAAATGGTGTGTGCGTGTGAGAGAGAGGGAGAGAGAGGTCAATGGAAATATAGATTCTCTTCCTGCACAAGCTCGATACATTGAGCTGCAAAGAATGGAAGAGTAAGTGGGGTAAATCTAAAGTAAGAATCATTTGTAGAAGAAGGATTCCATTTTGATGCAGTCCCTTTCATCTTTTACACTCCTCTTTTATATATTTCTTATCTTTTAATATTTTTCTTATCTTTTCTTTGTGTTGGGTCATGTCAGAATATTATGCATCTATGGGCTGTCTTCGTTGGATACAGACAAAAATAAAAAGGAGTAGATAAAGTGGCATGAATTGATTTACTAATCAAACAAAAGATAAGGTGTAAACTCATACATTCTGAATTTAAATCGTTGGTCGCATAAAACTTAGATTCGGTAACGAGACTTGTTAGAAAATGTATTTATCTGAAATTTGCGTTTCGGCCATGAGTCTAAGGGGCACATCCTTGGGGACTATTCACCATTACATGAAAAAAAAAAAGGGGGGGGGGTGTGTGTGGGGGAGGGGGTAGTCATCTATGGCTTAGCTCCAAGATGAGAGAGTCAGAAAGCGGGGAAACTGAATGTAAGTTATTTAGTCAAAAGATGGAGATGGTTCTACCAGACAAACCTGTTGCTTTTGCAAGTTCATATGCCCTTTAAGCTGCTGAAAAGAGTATTTGTTTATTGCTAAGGTTGTGTCTTTAACCAAAAGGCATTGTGGGTAGTTGTGAAAGTTGAGAAGCCAACATCTTAGAAGCTGCTGGACACCTCTCTCTCTCTCTCTCTCTCTCTCTCTCACACACACACACACACAGAGTACAAACTTGTAAGGCAGGCCAAAGAATGTAGAATATTCTCCACTACCAAAACATGATTAAAAGGGGGACCTAGCTATCTGTACCAGATAGTAGAATTGTATTTACTTATTGCTTAATTGACACCTCCATCAAGCCATCTTCTAACAACTTGAAACATCTCTATTTTCGCTGCCAATCCTCCCATCTGATATGTCATCGGCAACTTGTTTGCCAGCATTTTGTTCACAATTGTTAACTATTGGTCTTGATGTTCAATCGCGCTAAGATTACACCAAGGATCATTTCTAACTTCATACCTATTCGCCCTAATTATGGATGAACTCATTAGTAATATTCAAGATGACGTCTCATGGTGTGTGTTATTTGCAGATGATATTATCTTAATAGATTTAACTCGAAAGGGGATTAACAATAAGCTCAAAATTTGAATAGAGACACTTGAGTCAAAAGGGTTTAAAATAAAGAGTAAAAGTGAATATATACATGTAATTTTCGTAATAGAAGAAGTAGATATAGTGAAAAAATTAAGATTGAAAATTAAGAAATACCAACGAGTAAACTATTTAGATATATAGGATCGATCATTAAAAATGATGAAAAAATTGGAGACAATGTAACTCATAAAATCAACGAAGTGGAGGAAAGTCTCTAGCATATTATGTGATAAAAGGATACCAATAAAATTGATAGATAAGTTTTACCGAACAATTATAAAGACAGCAATATTGTATGAGATAAAATGTTTGGCAACTAAGAAACAACAAAGTAACAAAGTGTAGTGGAAATGAGAATGTTAAGATAAATGTGTGAAAAAACTAGAAATTATAGAATACAAAATAACTATATTAGAGAAATGATAAGAGTATTTCCAATTGAGGATAAGTTGAAAAAATACATTAAAATGGTTTGATTGTATTCAAAGGAGGCCGATAGAGGAACTTGTTAGAAAAAATGATAGAATTTTTGTAAATAATATTAGGAGTATGACTGAAATTATAAGAAAATATATGAAAATATTAAATTAAAATGAACATATAGTGCATGACTGAAATGAATGAACAAGATTGATTCCCATAGCCGACTTCAAATGAGTATGATATAAAACTTAGTTTGATTTGACGGTGGTCTTGATGCTCAACTGGTTAGGAACATTGATAGAGGACTTCCGCTCGGAAAGTGATACATATCACCGATTTTCCTCACCATTGTCTTGGTATGTGAGTTGCACTGTCAATGCCTAATCGTTAGCTCGACACAAAATCAACTAAAAGTTATTAGGTATTGTGTAGTCTTAACGGACTAGGATTAATGACTGGTTTGACCCACTAGAGCTACTTAGTAAACAAGTGTATACAAACTTCATTATTTAAGACACGAACCCAACTACACGATACATATAACTCGGGTTCAGTTTAAACAAATTTTGACACAATACAATTTAAACGCACCAACATTAATCGGCAAAATATGATCCATTACCAACCTATACCTAATTTCGGTGATACGAAAAATGTGAAAAAGAAAGGATAATATAGAGCATAGCATATTAACTTTAAATATGTCACACTCAAAAACAAATTATTAAAAGCTAAAGATAACTACTGAGGTTGGTGAAGAAGCTGGGCAACCATGAAAAATTCTTATCTTTATGGAAGATAATGCAAGAGAATTATTACAAGGCATTTCCTAAGCTCATCACCAAATCAAACTCCTATTTTAGGTATTTTTTGTCACATTTTTTATTTGTTCTTCTCATGTAGGCAAATGATTTTGTCACCTATATATGCTTGGTGAAGCCAGTTTCACATGTCTTATCATTCTTTTTGAATCCAAAATTGTGGTGACGTGAATCAAGGGGAATTTATATTCCTATATGTCCTGGTGCCTTTGAGGCTCAGAAAAAAACAAAAAAAAAAAAAAAAGGAAGGAACGAGTTTGATGAGAAAAGCAATGTAAAGAAAAGGGAAAAAAGCTACTTTTAGCAGAATGAATTATATTCTATCATAAAGTAAATACACAGTTAACATTTGATTTTATCATACAAAATGGTTATACCTAGATTCTATCCCACAATCTTATGTACGACTAAAAGGGCGTAACCAATGCACAAGATCCACGTCATTGTAAGGTTTTGGGAGAATTAGATGTATGCAACTTTATCCCTACAAACAGAAAGATTGTTTTCGTAACTCAAACTCGTGACATCTAAGTCACAATGAAATAACTTTACAATCCTATGTATAACTATGTACTTTTTTTTGATCAAGTATAACTATGCACCTTAAAACAGTAACTATGTACCTTAATATATGTGATTATGAGAGTTATGTTACTATTTTTGAACGTGGGTACAGTGATTTGTACAGAGGACTAATCAAAGTAGAAGAATATTTGTACCATAAAAATAACTAGCTTATGCAGCACCATGTGCTTTCTGTTTAAAATAACAAAGCCAAAACAACTGCACCATTGTTAGAAATTGGTCATCTATTGAATAACTAAAACTGATAAAGTGAAGTAAAGCTCTCTCTCTCTCTCTCTCTCTCATATTCCATTCAGCTACCTTTGGAAGGGTATAATGAGGAAAAGCAAAAGTAGTTTTGGACTTAGAGAGGTAACTTAAGATGATTGCAAACAGACACTACGTGGGTATACTAATCATTTGGGGTTCAAATTCGTAGGTGGAAATGGCTCATGGGTAGGGTCCCTTTCCTTTCTAGCATTCCTTGTTTCAGTTGATCATGAGTTGGTAAAGTGCCTCTATCCCTTTCTTAAAAGACATGTAGAGATTATGCCAGAAGAAAAGCCAAATAAGGTACCTCTGGGCAATTTCTTTAATACCAGATCTATAAAAGACAGCCATGATTTCCTCATACTTGTGAAAGAAACTTCATTAATTTGAACAAATTAATTACAGCTTTATTTAAAGCTGAAATTGTTGTTGATGATAATGTTAATAATCATACTTTGCTAATTACACTAAGAATTGGTCTCCCTTTGATTAAGTGGGTGGACCAATCACTAAATAGGCCATCTTTTATTTTGAATTTAGTAACAATAGTGAAATGTACACAACCAGAATTTTTTTTACCAAAATGGCGTGGTACACTCATGTTCTTTCGTTCCAAATTAAAATGACCATTAATACCATGAAATCAATTCACTGTAGTTTTCTTTCATTCTGAAATAAAGGGTCCTTAATATTGTGATTTTACAAAAATATTGTTGTTATATTATTGTGAAAGGAATTCTAGTTGTATAACGTTAATCGACCATAATTAGTAGGTAATTACTTGTAGTTCTTTTTTCTTATGTTCTTAGCATCACCAATATACTAGGGAGAGAGAGAGAGATTAATAAACAAGCCTAATCATGGTATTATAACTCATTAGGAAAGGAAAAAGTACAAAAAAATAACATATGGGTGCTTGACAAATCACATGATCATGGACTAAAAAAACCCACCAAATAATGCCAAAAGAGTAAAGCTAGGGTTTGGGGTTCTTGTGGTCACTGTCATGGATTTATATACAGCCACCTTGTTTACCCTAGAAGACAGGTAAGCTAGAAGACATGATCTGTCAGGCTTCAATTGATTAGCAACAAAATATCAAGCATGGCAAGCACGAAAGCATGGTACAGTTCAAGCTTATGACTTTTTTTTTTTTTTAATTTTAACCTGACATCACCTTAACCATCCTTTATTTCAGCCTACTTAATATTTGCGGTATAAATCTCCGATACACATAATCACACATTAATCATGTACATTTTTTAAACTCGTACTTGTATGTAACCAAAGAAATTCATTTGGAGGTTCGAATTAACATCTCACCATTTGTTCGATCACTAAACTAGTTTAAGGTAAGAAGCTTTTTCTCTTGAATAAATAGATCTGAATTAAGTGATAATTTGGCTTTATGAACACAAAGTAGGTGGTCTTCATATTTTAATCAGGCCTGAGATACCTGTGACAACATGATGTATGTGCCAGCTTGATGCTTATTGGCTTAATCCCTAAATATATATAGCCTTCAACCTTCTTTTTGCATCAGTTCTACATAGCCTTCACACTTTCCTTCTAATTCACAGCCATGGAGAATCAATTTCCTAAGATAGAAACCTTCATGCAGAAGGAATTTCCATCATTTCTTGAAGCCATGCCTAAATCTAGACTTTTTTTGGATTCAAACGTTTGGAATGGCCTAAATGGAACTGCTACTCGTGGTGGTGGTCGTGGTGGTGATCGTGGTAACGGTGGTGGTGGTAGCAGCCATGTGAAATCATCCTCATCATCACCAGATAGGTTTTTTTCAAATTCAGAGTCAAGTTCTTCAATGGATGAGGCTTCAGCTGCCACCTTGAATACTAACATCCTTGAGATCATGAAAAATAATGGATCTTCTGTCACTTCTGTTCAAGGAAGTTACATTCCTGTGAATTTTCTTCAATCCTTCCCAGAACTAAATCAACCCCAATGGCCTGACCCTGAACCTGAACCCTCTTCACCATCTTCCTTTTCAACGAATCCGAAATCACCGAATCTAGGTTTGTTTTTGAAAGAACCCACCATGTTAGATATATCCAGAAGAGTTTCTGAATCTGTAGGCAAAAACCAGAATTGTGAGCCCATGTCATCATCCTCACCAAACCCTTTATTCCCCATGTCCCAACTTGGCCAAAACCAGCTTGATCAAGTGACTGATTGGCTCAAAATCAATCAGAACTTATCAAATTACTCTTCAAAAGGCTTTGGTGATTACTGGCCAAGCACAACCCAAACACAGCCAATGAAGTACACTGGAAGAAGAATGCAGAATGGCCACCAGAAGTCTCCATTGTCATCAGGTTCGTCTCCAGGAAAGCTCTTCAGAGGAGTGAGGCAAAGGCACTGGGGAAAATGGGTTGCAGAAATAAGATTACCACGAAACCGAAGAAGGGTATGGCTAGGGACTTTTGACACAGCCCAAGAAGCTGCTTTTGCTTATGACACTGCTGCTTATATTTTAAGGGGAGACTACGCACATCTGAACTTTCCAGATCTGAAGCATCAACTCAAGGCCAATTCTATCAATGGTACCACTGCAGCCCTTCTCGAATCGAAGTTGCAAGCAATATCACAAGGTATTTCTGCAAGTAACAAGGCCAATGATTCAGCACCAACATCTCCCAACAAAGTTTTATCTGACAACTCGAGAATGAAAGGTTTGAGCAGAAACTTAGCAAGAAAAGAGATACAATTTGAGTTGGAGAGCAGAGATGGATCTGAAATGGTTGAGAATAAGAAGATACAAGAAGGATCATCAGACATTGATGCTGTTCAGCTGAGTAGAATCCCATCCTTGGACATGGACATGATCTGGGATGCACTTTTAGTCTCTGATTCATGACTAAAGTATCTGCTGATCATTTTGCTTAGGTTGAATTGAATTATCTTCAGTTTCATCTCTCTATAGAACAAAGTAAATCTCATGTTATTTCAATGGGAAGCACATTAATTTGTTCTTGCTTGATTAAGGTTCAGATTTTGGACTCTTGAAATATTTTACTGTAATTTGATGCAAGATGTACTCTTTTTTTTCTGTTCTTTATTTTTTTTTTTTTTTTAGGGGGGTTGGAGTTTCAGCCAATGGTAGTTTTTGTTAGTTAAGATAACTTCTCTTCTCTTTCCTGTGAGGCAGCACTGAATTTGATACCCAACTTCTCTTTCAAACTTTGGTTTTTGGCAATAGGCAATAGGCAATAGCTGCCAAATTTGGAATCTGCTACATGGGCCCAGTTTTTAACGTTGAAAGTCATTGGGCCATCTAGCATTTGGGGTCATCGTGGGCCCTCTTAAAGATGTGTTCTATTGGGTTTATATTCCTGTATATGTATGCATTGTATGGTGGAAAACCCTGACCAAAAAAAAAAAGTACGGTGGAAAACGAATCATAAAGCGGGGTGGAAAAGCTAAAAATAGGAAAAAAAAAAAATAATCAGGAAAACATGGCAATAAAATTGACACTTTATACAAGTCTAAATTGGAGGTAGAATATTTGAAAAATGCACAGCCTACTAACTATTCTTTACTTGGAAAAAGAAAAAGATGCTACAATCTACGAATAACTAGTCTCGTGATATTGCAACGTTGACATTACATCTAATCCAATGAGCCACAAGAAACCATTAAATTGGAATATCATGGCTCGTTTGATTGCCGTATTATTTGAATAAGTATTTACAATAAGATTATATATAATTCGAAATATTTTTTACAATCAAATATAATATAAAATTAAATTAGTGAGTTTGAATTTGGTACGACTCTTTAATACATTCCTCAATGTTGCGACCAAACGACCAATTTTGTTAGCAGGGGCATACGAGGGTAGGGGTTGATGGCAGATCACTAGTGGTGGTTTGGTTGCTGGGAAATTCATTCAAAATTCAAAGGCAAATAGATAAAATTATAGTCATTTTAGTCGCACTTCCTAACCAACCAATATTCACATCTCTGTCGGTGCGTTTCAGACAATAAAATAGTCTCTTCATAAGATAGAATAATCGAGAATAAATACAACAACACCCACTATAGATTAGTCTAATTACATAGACAGCCCCTTCATTATCTGAAATGTAATTGACCTTCCTTGTCAAATTTCATCTGGTAATGATGTTGATGGAAATTGTCCTTTTACGCATCTACCCTTCACTTAAACTCATTTGTTATTTATTGATTCTCGTTTATCTATTTTTGTATGTGTATACATAAAATTTCTTTCTTTGTCTCTCTCTTTCTCTTTTTATCTCTCTCCCACTCTCTCCTCTGTCTATTTCTTCTAAAAAATTGCCACCAGCCACCACTCTCCTCACAGCACCATCACGCCCCACCACCTACCTCACAGTACCACCACCCACCTCTCTCTCTCTCTCAATATATATATATATATAACACCCATCTATCCAGTCCACCTCCACCTCTCCACCACCATGTCCACAATAGAAATTGGTTCTTCGAAATCTACTTGCCTTGAATTTTTGATTGAATCGGAGTTGAATTTGGAGATTTTTCATTTCAACTTTGGTGTACTGGTTTAATGTTGGGGTTTAATTTTGATGAGTTTGGTTAAATTGATCTGTGGATAATTTGTTTGCTTTGAATATAGGTTTAGGGTTTTTTGTGATTATTTATGTGCTTGGATTATTTCGGAGAGAGGGTTGGAGTAGATGGAGGTGCACTATGGTGGTGCTTGTAGTGGAGGTTAAGGTGGCGGTGTCTGTGGTGTTTTAGGCAATCAAAGGCCAATTAGAGGTAGAGGTGATTATAATTATTATGCAATGCTAATTAAGTGGTGCGTATTTGAGGTAGGGTGGCATTGCGGTGGGTGAAACTTTATCCTGATTGAGATACAAAGTATGTTTGGATTTTGGAATAACTTAGTCTAATTTTATTCAAGGGCAATTTGGGTATTTAATATCAAAAATTTCATGATGTAATCTCTTTTGGGGTTTGTCTCTAACGGTCGCGACTGTAAGGGGTACTATGTAAAACTGATATATGAACTACCAGAGAAGTCAGTGGTATTTCAAATAATAGAGGGGGTGTCTCTATAATTAGCGTAATCCATATGGGGTGTCATTATAATTTTATTTCTTTCTAAATTCAGAATATCAATGCATGTGAAACTGCAATTAGTTGTTAACCACTTCTGAACAAAACATTAAAATAAAGTTAAAGAAATTATTATTTTCAAGTTGACTAGAATTTTGTACAATCCTGTGTACTTATCAGTAGTTGTGGAAGTCTTTTATTTTATTTTTTTTATTGGAAGGATTTGGGGGAGGTTGTTTCTGGAAAAAAAAAATTTAATATACAGATTTAGTTTTGACTTTAGAGCAGGGAGACACATGTTCCAATGGGATATTAGACGGAGTTTATTACTAAGTCAAAGTATGTAGTGATCGGATTTTGAGCGAAGGTGAATGCTTATTTGTACAAACAATAACCAATAAATAATGATTTTAAGTTTTAAAATTTTATTTTTTAAAATAGAGATAAAATTATTTATTATTTATCCCTCTTGCATGATATATAAGCCTTTTTTAGATGTAATAATAGGTATTAAAATAAGATCAAGGCAGAAAGTCAAAATCAAATACTTGTTATCATTATCATCCCAACTCACCATGTGTTTGACATTTAAAAGTTTATATAAATCATTTCAATGAGTCAAAATATTATATATGCCAGTTTTATTGGTTTAACATATGAGTGACCATACTCTTTTTTTTTTTTTTTTTTTTTTTTTATTCTAAAGGGCATTTAGGCTTGTATCAACTATTTTTTCGAACTCAACGACCGTCACTGTAGTTTGAACTGGATTAAAGCACATGTGCTGAAATGTGAGAAGAGATTGAATCTGAAACTTCTGAGTTACCAAAAATCAAGCTCAACCATTGAACCACTCCTAAAATTTATGAAAGACCATACTGTAGCTAAAAAACAACGTTATTTGGACTTAAAATACTGACTTAATCAATTATTATCATTAATTTAACTATAAGTCACAGTATTTATTAGAACACATTACCTATTCAATGGTCGTGATTGATCAAGTCAACAAATCAAGTTAGCATTTTAAGTTCAAGTAGCATTTTCTGCATATAAATATAATTTCTTTTTCTGTCTTTCATGCAATGATGAGAGATAAAAAAAAAAAATTTGGGGAAGATTATGATGATATTTATACAACATAAATGGTGTAATAATAGTATTGAATGAATAAAACAATACACAGTGCAACTATTCTACTGTCAGCATTAGCAAGATTCAAAACTGAAGCCTGTCCTCACTCCCAAGCTCCAATACATCATCAATCTCGTCAAATAGAACACACCACACCACCTAACCTTTATGGTGACACAGTCTACGCAGATTATAATTATCTTCCTGCATGCAGGAAAATCCACTCTAGTTTCAGAAAGGACTACACAAACACAGAAAATCACCAAATATATAGTGCAGCGCTTGCAACTCTACAACAATAATAAGATCAATAAAAGCATAACGCATGGTTTGGTTGAATGTTGAGAAAAGGAGGAAAAGCAAATAAAACTGATGATGCCAAAAACTGGACGTATGAGACGTTGGAGCCGAAGAGCTCTTTCTAGCTCTGGAATGGTGAAATATTGATGCATGTGTGTATACAGGGAGACTATGTATGAATAGAACGACTTTAATAAAGGCACAAAGAATTAAGTGATTCACTCAGTTAAAGAGTTTGGTTAATCCACTCCAATGGAATATCTTGCTCTCTAGTTTGTTTTGCTTAAAGAAGAAGTCAAAGGCTCTTACCGTCCTTAGTTAACACAATTGCTCCCCCTTTCTTTGGAGGCAAGGGTTTGCTTATATACCCCCTTACTCGTCCTCCTCATGACGGGGTCGTCTCCTATTTATTAGAATTGCAACAGATAATATTTAGTCATTAAAAACTATATTTTTTAGACATGACTTGACCTTCTAAAAAATAATGATGTGGCATTGGTGACTCTTTTATGGACTAGTAGATGCCCACATGTATTGCACGTGAATAATTTTGAATTATAATTTTAATTTATTTATTTTATATGCTTTTCAATGTTTATTTGTGCAACAAAATTTTTAGTTGTAGTGTTTGCACTATTTATTATTTAGGAACACGACACTTTGGAAGTGAATACAAAAGAACAAGTGTATATTTGAGAAATAATTGATAAATTGAATGTCATAGCCTATTTAGTTTGAAGTATTCTGCAAAAAAAAAATTTGTAATTGTAAGAAAGTCTCTTCAGCTCCTATACCAAAAACACGTAAAAGATAACATAATTTAAAAAAAAGCAAATGCGAGATCACAAAAATAAAGAAAAAAATAAACATGGAAAGTCTTGATGAAATATTGTTTAAAGTGTTATCATAATAAAACGGACCATAATATCCACTTCACTTCATACCAAATTATCGCAATAAATAATTGAAATATTGTTTAATTTTATCAGAATAGTGTATAGAAATAGAACATCAAAGTGAAACTAAGTTTTAATGTATATAAGAAATCTGATTTTGAATTTCTCAAGGAAACTAAGGGGGTGCAAGAAAAATAAGGGTTTTGTTAATATTTATAAGGGCCAAAAAAAAATAGTAAATTTTGTGCAAAGAAATATTCAAATATAACTGCATGGATGGCTATCCAGGCCGTCAAATGGTTCTGATACCAAAATAAAAGCAAGTGCGGAATTCATGGAGTTTTAAGGAGAATCACAAGATGTAAATATGGATGACAAAATAATTTATTTTTAAAAAATTATTGTTTAGATGAACAAGATACAAAATATGATAACATAAATAAATATATACTATAAATGCATTACCACAAACCTGAATGTGCATGCATTACAGAAAAGTCCTTTAGGAAATACTACACTGATTCAGGCCAGCACTAGTCAAACCAATATCCAAGCTCCTAAGCAAATCCTTTGGAAGGATATAACCCTCTCAAAATCTTGGATAGTAAAAAACGAAAATCTTGAAAAGGATAGTGAAAATACTTCCACTAACCTAGAGAGCATCCACCAATTAGCAGATGGCTCAGTAAGAA